AACCCGCGGATTACCTTTCTAAAAGACGGTACTCAAGATGGAGAGCCAGTGCAGTTTACTCAAGGAGACCTGGGTTCATATCCCCAGCTTTGCTATAGAAACCCACTGTTGTTGATGTTATTATGTGCCCTCAAGTCGCCTCCAATGAGTTAGTGACCTGCAAAATGGCCTTTCCTCAACAGCCCTTTTCAGCTCTTGTAAACTGAAGGCTGCAGCTTTCTTTATGAAGTAAATCCATCTCATATCTGATCTCCGTCTTTTCTTGCTGCCTTCAACTTTGGTGGAAACTGGGGAATGGCAACGATAAAATCACTCCTTAGACACTTTATCTACTTTAGGAACCCTACTAGGATTCCCATAAGTTGGAATCAATTTGATAGCGAACAACAGTAACTCTGAATGAAATGCTTTAATGTGATTTTATCTAAATACTGTAATATATTCTTATCTTCCTGGTCACTGACTGTAATAAATGATGGTGATGATGATGCTTGAATGCGAGGAGCAGATCTTTATACAGTACATTTTGTTTTTTATCTTTTGGGGGAATCTCAGCTCCACTAGTCTATCTTCGGTGGTTCAAGAAACCTGTTCCTATGGGTCTCTGAGGGTACACATCTCGAGTCCATCTCACGCGTTCTTGAGAATAAACCTTTATTCTGAGGTCCCCCAAATGATTAGGTACAGGAGTGCAAGGCTTATGAAACTGAGCCCCTCCCCAGGAAGTATTAATCAGAAATATCAATATAGCTCAAGAAAGATTGAGTGTTGCTGCAACGGAGACCTCCCAAGAGTTAATAAGACTTCATGCCATCACTATAGCCATTTACTTGAGTGTAAGCAACACTGAATTTCAGCAGATGAAGGGCACTTCTAGACAGACATTGCAGCCTATTCATTTTTTAAGCTGGTTGAATGGAGAAAGAGAACCACTTTGTACTTTTTCACAGTGCCCTCTGGCAGAATGACAGCTGTCATGATGGCTGAACTGGAGATTCCTTCCTTCCTTCCTACCAACCAACCATTATATTTGTCTCATTTATAGGCTGCATTTCTCCTGATTATTACAAAGGGATGTAATAATTTTGGACATGGGTGGTGTGAATGACCTTGTACATGGAGTATAGCCTCAGTAGCTAGACGTATGTGCTTATACAGTATATATAAATAAATGTTATCAGGTTGGCTGCCAAGGGTAGCCTGGCAACTCTGTGCATTTGAAAAATGGATGACAACCTACTTTACCTTATACCAAATTCAACTTGTTTTCCTTAAAGCACTGCAAGATACTTTATTGTATCTATTTCCAGGCATTCTATTAGCATATTTTCACAATTTATGCTCTTTGCTGGGGCGGTGGAGGAGGTATGGTTAGGAGACCTTATATGTTTATGTTCATGTGGCTGATTTAATTTTTTTTTTATTTGCAGGAATTCACAAACTTGGAGGAATTTTATTGGTTCTTCAACCTCTCTGTTAAATTAAGAACCTTAAAAACAACCATGTTGGATCAAAGTGAGTGCCTATCTACTCCAATATTCTGTTCATACAATCACCAGGTGGCTCTAAGAAGCGCATTGGCGTAATATGAGTGCTTCTATACATCTCCTTGTTGCCTTTACTAGCTAATGAGATATAGGGTATATCTAGTTATCCAGACTAGTAACCAATAGTTGACTTGATGTCCAGAGATTTAATTTCCTTTTAAAGCCATCTTCATTGGCAACTGTTACTGCATCTTGTGGATGTGAATTCCACCATTTAACTATGCACTGGATAAAGAAGTACTTATTTTTATTTGTCCCAAATCTCCCATTATTCCACTTAAGTGAATGACTCAGGAGTCTCAAATGAGAAAAGAAAAAAAAATCCTCTTTCATTTACTATTTTCGCACCATGCATCATTTTATATAATACATCTCTAACAAGGCCCTTACAGTACTTGTATTTTCCCTAAACTGAACAGTTCCATATTGCCATCATGGGTCAGTTGCTCCAGTCCCTTGCCCTGTTCTGTGTAATACCAGTTCTATGGTATTCCTTATGTGGTAACCAGTGTTCCACATGTTTCTTTGCACTATTGATTTCAATAAGGCGGTGGGGGGGGGGAACAAGAGCATATTATAGCAGATTGTAGGGCATAGATGGTCAAAAGGTGGCCCTCAAAATGTTGCTGGATTGCAGTATGCTGTTCCTACCCTTATTATTGTATATGCTGGTCAACGCTGATAAGAGTTGCAGTCAAACTATTTCAAATGCTGTACTTTACCCATCTTAGTTTTACATCCATCTATGTCCTCACTTAATAAGGTGTTATATATTCCTCTCTTTGCTTGCTCCATTAGTGTTCTGCTCTAAACCAGTGGTTCCCAATCTTGTGTAACCCAGGTGTTCTTGGACTGCAACTCTCAGAAATCCTGGCCAGCACAGGTAGTAGTGAAGGCTTCTGGGAGTTGCAGTTCAGGAACACCTGGGTTAACCAAAGGTGGGAACCACTGATCAAAACAATTAAATTCATCTGTAGTACAATAATCATTTTAACAATATCAAATAGAACATGATAAATTTATTACTTAGTCCATTAAATGAGAAGATGTAAAAATACAGCCGTTGGTCAGTAAAATCTGTATTGATCTCCTTGCCAGTCTTGCGTCTTGAAAACAGTTCCAGGCCCCCTGTTAGCTAGCACAGGGGTTTTCAATGGTTGGTCCTCCAGATTGCCAGTCTTGCGTCTTGAAAACAGTTCTAGGCCCGTTAGCTAGCACAGGGGTTTTCATTGGTTGGTCCTCCAAATATTTCACAGTTCAACTTCCAGAATCCTTCTCCATTGGCTATGTTGGCTGGGACTTCTGGGAAATGAATTCCAAAATGTCTGGAATGACAAAGGTTGGTAACTACAGTACTCTCCTGGTTTACGGTGCCTCTACTGAGGGATGACTCTTCCTCGGTTAGTGGGAGATTGTGCTGTGTACATCAGTGTGTGTTGCTCCTTCTCATGCATGCTAGTGTGTGTTGGGGGAAGGGATATGGCTCTTAGAGATGTTGGTAGTTGGCAAGGCTAACTCAAATGTTCTCTGAATGGGTGAGACAGTTGCTTGAATTCCTTTCATGAGAAAATGAGCGATCAATCGTATCTGCTGATATAGACGCTCATCCATGGCACAATATATTTGTTAGCCTTTGAGGCATTGTTGTTGGACTCTGACTTCCATCAGCCTTAGCTAGTGCTACTGTTGGAGATGCATGTTTGGAGTTCCAGTCCAGCAGCATTCAGTGGGACACATTTAATGCAACCCTGCTTTAACATCCACATACTGTTCACCATATATAAAACAACACAGATAGACTAGGTCACCTCTCAGCCTCTGCTTTTCAGTAAGAACAGAAGATGTGCGCTGTAGGTTCAGGCCCAAGGCATACCTAGTGCAGCATTCTGTTTCACACAGTGACTGACCAAATACAGTAAATGTATCTGGGAAGCTCACCAGGTAGACATGAAAGCAGCTCCCCTCTTCTGCTCTTGCCTCTCAACAATTAGTATTCAGAAGCAAACTGCTTCATGACAAGTAGCCAAGTGTATGGTCAATAAATTAAATACACATCAAGATGTTTGATTCCCCACTGTGCCTCCTTGACAGGGGCTGGACTTGATGATCCATAGGATCCCTTCCAACTCTGCAGTTCTAAGATGACAGTGATTAAGGTTAAGCCACCCAGAGATATGCAGCTGCTTGGATAGGATGCAGTAAATGCCTAATGGAGGGTTGTATCATCATAAGGTGTAGAATGACCCTGACACTGTCTTGCTGTTCAGTCATTATTGTATACTGTAATATTTTGCACATTGCAGTTGAGCATGACTGCTACAGTTTTGCACTTAAGCTGGATTTGCACCAGCCATAAAGTAAGACTGCTTACTTTGTCCTTCTTTTTCCATTCCCCACTCTCACTTTCCACCTTACCTGAGGGGTGGAACCAGATCCATGAAATTAAAAAAAATGGATAATCATGATTTCATATGATTTTCTCAAACCAGTATCAGCTCATATATCCCATCTGTGCCCCACAAACTAAACTGTAGAAATCAGATACCTCACTGCATGGCTTTGCAACGGGGGAAAAACCCATGGACCCACATGATTTTCACCTGGGATCCAAACCCTTGCCAAAACATAGATCCCCTCTATGTCTACAGACCAAACCGCAGAAATCACAGATCCTTCACAGTGCGGCTTTGTAGTGGGACAAATACATGGACCCAAGGTACCTTCATAGATTCACAGGATTTTCACACGGGATCTTCCCCAAAGCACCATCATATAATAAATTCCATCTGTGGTCACAGACTAGACTATAGAAACCATACTCCTTCAGTGCATGGATTCCAAGTGACAGATACATGGATCAGAGCTGCAGATCTTCATGGTTCCAGATGGTGTTCACACAGGAAAAAACGTAGATCCCATCTGTGCCCACAGACTAATCCACAGAAAGCACAGACGTTTTGGTGCATGGTTTTGCATTAGGGCAAAAACATGTATCCATGCCCTGGCACCATTGCACTACCAAAAAGAAGCTGTGATTTCTGTGGTTTAGTCTGTGGGCGCAGAAGGGATCTATGAATTGTCGGTGGTTTGGGGAGGATCCCATTTGAAAATCATATGAAATCACGAGGATAAGTTCTTGAGTTCATGGATCCGCCTTTTCCTTTCTCCCCTAATGTGTGTCCAGGCGCAGTCGTTGGGGATCCGCTGCGTTTCCTCGGGAGCACAGTTGTTTTCCAGGACACCGCGGCTCATCTGAAGCATAGCCTCTTTTCTTCCCTTTTAGCAGAACAGTTTTTAAGCAGCACATCGGACTTGGAAAAGAAAAGAGAAGGCGGGAGGCGCAGGCTTTGCCCACCCGCTATTTCCCCCATCCCCCGAAAAGTGCAAGGGGGGGGGAAAGGAAGCCTGCACTGTCTGCAACCCCCTGCGGGTTTTCTTTTGCCCCCTCGATGGTTACCCTGACTGTACCTCCGCGTCCCCCTCCCCCTCCACGTGATGGGCCCGACATGCGCAGCGCCAGGGGCTTGGAGAGTGACGTCACTTGCACAACCTCCCAGGCCAAAATAGTCCGCTCCTCCTGCTGCTCCAAAGTTGGCTGAAGGCCGGTAGTGAGAAGAGATCTCGAGCTACTTCAACAAAACTTTCTCTCCAGTCTTTCCTGCTCCCTCTTCCCCTTTCCTTCCCTCTCGCCTCCTGATGGTATTCACATAATAATTCTGCACTGAAAGGGAATAGCCAAGAAGAGGAAAAACCCCATACCCAAATTACGTCTTCCCCCTCTCCCCATTTCCTTTCTACCCCTTTCCCGTCTCTCTCTTCCTCCCCCCCTCCCGACCCCCCACTTTTTGGTTGTGAAAGGCAAAAATATACAGGGTGCTCCTAGATAGACCGGATGAATGGATGGCATCCTCTGTGCTGCCTAGGCAGTCCCTTTTCACAGCTTCCCCCTTTTTAAAAAAAGGGCTAGAGGATTTTATTCTGCTCTAGAATATATCTTTGGCGTGGCTTGCCAAGAGGGGGAAATCAGAGAGAGGAATACGGGAGCCCTCCAGTGCAATTTCTATTGTTTGAAACTCACTTTATAGCAAAGAAATTGAAGATGAGAACGGTAAGGAAAGACTTCGCAGACTCTTTGCCTTCTAATTTTCTTGTTTCCCGCATTATATTGCGTTCAGATGTGGAGTGCGGGTGGTTTCTAATGCCCCGGGGGGGGGGGAGAAGAGGATCTGAATGATTTCGCAGAGAAACCTTTGGGTTTGGGGGATTATCTGGGGAAGGCAATGGGGCTGCGAGATTTTTGGTGCGGCAAAGCCGGTTGATTTGGTAATTGTTCTCCCGAGCAGTGAAGACTTCTATTTTTAGAAGTAGAGTCAAGCAATTGGCAGAATAATGCAAATTTTGGCGTGGTGTATTCGTTTCTTTAAATTAATAGACTTTGCTTCTAACCGTATAAACCCAGTACAGTATTTTGGTGGCGGCACACCAATGCCTGTATATATGGGGAGACAAGTGCAAATTTTTGTGTATGGACTCCAAGGGGTCGCATTGAATTTGATAGCCAAATCCCGGATGCTCGCCTAAAGGAGGGAGAGACATTAAGCTGTTAAGAGGCTAATGGGAGCGATGGAAGAGCGTAGCTTTGATTTGCTCGTCGACGCGGCGAGCTTTGCTAGACTCGTAAGCCGTGCGGAGCCTGTTGAATCGCTGGGTGTCTGTTCAAAGGGATTGTGGGGAAGGGGGGCAAAGGTGTGTGATCGGAGGAGCGGGGGGAGCCGCTGGATTCCTGCTCCCTCCTAGTGTGTGTCCAGTCGCTTGTCTTTGCTGATTTCTTTCATTGGTGTACAAGAGGGGAGAAAGAGAGTCCCGTCTCAGACTCCTGTTTTTATTTGGACTGCCTTTGCAACGCATTTGGGCCTCATGCCAAGTGTCTGGGTCACACGCGTTTTATCCAAATAGATTTAGCGCTGCTGTCTGGAAATGGGCTGCTGGATGTTAACTTTAGGATCAGCTCCACCAGAACAGCTAGACACTTCCCTCCGGTGCGGAGGGGGATGGGAGGCGGCGGCGGCGGGGAGGAGGAGGAGGGCTTTTGTTCTATAGAGTTCCTTCCAAGGGGGTAGATGTAAAATGTCCTTTTGTACTCAGAGGGAGGGTGAGGGTGTGTGTGAAGGAAGATCGGGTTTAAAAAGTGTTTTTTTTTTAAAGAGTAGTCTGGACTTTCTGCAGTAAAAAATGACAGCTGACCCCCCCCTTGGAAAGTTAAAAGGGGAGGAGAAAGGCGGCGCAAAACTTTATACAGATAGCTTCAGTTTTGCCCTCTTCCCCACCCCCTCCTTCACCACCCAGGTGGCAGCTGATCTGGGGAGTCGCGTCTTGAGAGAGAAGCAGACGGAGGACCGGAGAGCGCGGCCGCAGTGTCGCTATTCACGTTTGGGGTTTTTTGTTTGTTGGTTGGTTTGTTTTTAATAAGGCTGCAATCCTAGGCATATTTTACTTAGGAGTCCGTGGAGCTTGGTGTCTAAGAAAGGTGGGTCGGGCTGCCCAACCTTCCCTTACCTTGAAAGAAGTGTGGTGATGTGTCTGTGAAACACACCCACGGCAGCCCTACCACAGGCAGACCAAACAACCTGTATGGGGAAGGGAGGCCCTGGGGCGCCCCAATACCTGGTAGGGATCGGGGCCGAGTCCGTCTCATCCCCCTCCTCTCGGCCTGTGTGTTTCTTTCGGAAGTCTTCAAAGAGCGGCCCCTTCCCGCCGCCGCTTCCCTCCCGCCCGTCTGCCCCGAGTGCTGGTGGCCGCCGCGGGCAGCTGCCTCGGGCCCAGCGCCTGCCTGGAGCAGGAGGCGGCTCTGGGATTCGCCTGTGAGCAGCAGCAGCCGCAGCCCGGAGCCCTAGCAGCCGGAGGGGGGGGGAGGGAGAGGGGCTGGCCTCGTCCCCGCGCTCTCTCTGTCAATATGGAACCGGCAGCGCCCGCCAAGGAATATATTGGCCTCTTACCCAGAGGCAGAGCTGCCAGACAGACCGACCGAGCGACCGACCCCCGGGTGCCTTCCTTGCAACCGGAGGGCCGCTCGGGGAGGCGCAGCGCTGCGCACATGTGGCCCAGCGCAGAGCAGGACGTGGTCAGCAGGCGAGGCGAGGCGAGGCGAGGCGCTGACGCCCCGGGTGATCTCGGAGGCGAGGCGGCCACGGTCTCCTTCGCTGCTCAGGGCTTGGGGAGGCGCCGCCCGAGGCGAGTCGCTCCCTCCCTCGCTCCCTCCCTCCCTTCTTCGGCCTTCCCGACCCGCGAGCGGATGTCCTTGCAGGAGTTTGCTGGGGCTTAACGCCAGGCCATTAGTGAACCACAGGTGCTACCGCGAGAGGCGAGTAATATCTGAGCAAACATTGCACACAGGGAGAGAGATGAGGAGGCGGGAGAATGAGGCTTGGGGTGGGGTGGGGGGCGAAAAAGAAGCCGCTCCCGCCGCCGCCGGCAGCGGAAAGCCGATCAGTTCAGTTTCTCGGCTCCTGCTGCCTTTGGACGGAGTCCCAGGGCCGGCGGCAGCGGTAGTGGCTGAGCTGCGGGCACGGCGGCGTTGCCAGAGGAAAGAAGGGAGGGAGGAGGAGGCAGGAGGCAGCACATGGGCAGAGGCTGCTGCTCCTACCTGTATGCAAGAAGGGCTGGCAAGTAGATTGCCCCGGGTTGGAAAGCTAGGTCAGGCTAGGGTCCTAGAGGTATGTGCAGCAATAATCAAGAATAGGGCTTCTGCCCATGGGCAGAGTATATTTTGCTCATCATGAAGCTGCTACCTTCTTTATTCACTCAGTCCCTCACTTATCCTAATGACAAGTTAAGAGTTAACTATGAGGTAGAAATCCAGAGGCATGCCTTTATTGATACCATGCACAGTATCACGAAACCATAAGTGTGCCTTCAGGGTCTCCAGAGAAAGAAAGATGCTGAACAAAACCAAAGGAACCGCGGGGGAGGGTGGTGGAAGGAAAAGTTAAAGAATTGTGTTTTGCATCTTAAACTGCAGCTCTTACAAAGTATAGAAGAAACCCTTCATACATGATTCAATCTACTTTGTTGGGTGCCGGGTGCATCCAGGGATACTGGGATTAATGATAATAACAGTGGTGGTGATGCTGATTGTATTTCCATAGCTGAAAATGTGACATTACTCAGCTCTATCTCCCACCATATCCAGTACAGGTGGCAGGGCACATGGGCTGGTTGGGCTCTGGCATGTGTCTCTTTAGGAAATCAGTCCACCAAGGGCTGTCATCTAGTCCAAACTTTCTCAGGCAACTGGAAGGAATGAGGAGCAACACAGCCCTCCTCTGCATGGACTGTGGCATTGCAAACTTTCTAAAATAGCTATCCTCCACAGAAGGAAACTGAGGTGAATGTCAGTGTAACTATATCATGTCCTTGCCACTGCTAACATATTTATAGCATTTTAATTGTAGCATATTGAAGGAGAAGAAAGGCAGGTTTGTACTAGCAGGAAGAGCCTGCTAAACCAATCACCTGTACCTCCTCAGAATTCCCACGTGCACTTTTTATGGCCTCTTTTCTTCACCTCAGCTTTACTATTCCAGAGTGGCTTTTCCATTAGTCACATGACAGTTCAGTTTACATATGTGTTAAAAATTAATCCTGCTGATCATTTTTCCTCCACACACTTTTCTTTTTCTAAGTAAAATGAAATTTTACTTGAAACTAGCAGCAGCGCAATGTGGCATTTAAGATGTTTAACATCTTACTTGATATTATGTCCCATTACTGAAATCTAGGAATAAACATATTGTGATATTTACTGTCAAATTGAAGTTACATAATTGAATGATTTCTTGGGGGTTCCCGTTATCAGTTCTAGGGGACTCATGAGTCCTTCCTTGCTTTTGTGACGTGGGCAATGCATACAGCCTTTAATAGCCATTTCCATGGCCCCAGAATAGTCTCCCTGCTGCTGAATTAACCATTTTAGCAGTTCTGATGATAGACAGAAACTGTAAAAGTGCCAGCACTTTTATTGGCATGCTTCCCTCCTGGTTTTCTGCCCCCCCAAAACACACACACACACCAAACAGTACTCCTTTGAAAACATCACTGCCTCCTCAACCCTTCCCTTCCTAGTTATTTCTTGAATCACTTCTAGAAATCTGTGGGACACTGATCTGCTCTCTCAAGTCTCTACAGTGAAAGAAGATACTCTGTCACTTTGTGGCACCATAGAACTATATTATGACATTGTGATTTACTTGGACATGCTCACTGAGATGGACATGAGATGACTTGGACTTAGGTCTGCCAGAAACAACCATTGATAGTGCATCTTCAGTGTAAGGGGGGGGGGGAAGGTCTCTTTCTCTCCTTTTTTAGGTGCTGGTGCATTCTCCCAAGGCAGTTGTAGTTGGTAGACAAAAGATGTAGAAGCCAGCAGTGGTGAAGTCAAAGATGACTGGTAGGGCCAGGGCAAGAGTGATAGTGTATGCCCCCACATGAACGCGCGCACACAAAAGTATTCACACACAAGCAGGCAAGCAAGCATTAACACATTCTGCTGGATAGCTCAGTGGTTCAGGTCTCTGACTGTGGAGCCAGAGGTTGGGAGTTTCATTTCACACTATGCCTTCTTGATGATTCATAGGGGCCCTTCTGCAGTTCTAAGATGATGATGATGATGATGATGATGATGATGATGATGATGATGATGATGATGATTATTATTATATACACATAAAGAGGCAGGCAGGCATTCACACATTCACTGAAACATGTCTCATTCCACCATTGAATCTTATTAAGAAAAATATACTTTGTGTCTCTGAACATGCTGCAGGGCTATAGCCCTTAGTGCCTAATGTGTGTTGTCTGGGAGCTGCAAGAGGATTTTTGCTTCCTTTTTAGAAGCAGTGGGCTGAGCTGTCCAGTCCTGCTCTGCTTACTTTGTGCAGAAAGTCATGGAAGCTGATGCAGTTCAAGCTTCTGTTTTTGCCACAAAAGCTATCACAGCTTGTATTTAGTTGTAAATCTTGTGGATGTATCTACAGAATGACAAATGGGACATGCTTTGTAATGTGTTTTATTTGTATGCATGTGAGTTGTTTCCGTTGCTTTGGG